AGAGAGAGAGAGAGAGAGAGAGAGAGAGAGAAAGGGTTGTCTGGGATCAGTCTGGCCAAGGGGTAAGATTTCTGTGCGATTTTTGATCTGAGAGAGGATGAGACCCTCTTACCTCAAAAAACAGCTCCTTCCCCCGACCCCTTTCAGATCAGAGAGGGATTTTGTTTGAGCTGAATGAGAATGCAGTTCTTGGGGGATGAGAGTTGGCACTGCCTTTTGATGGAAGAAAGGGCTGCAGAGGAGGAGAGAATGAAGGGAAGGCCCTACATTCTAGCTCACAGAAACAGGGCTCCCTGGGTGGAAGCAACTTGAGGGACCTGAAGTGTGGCTACTTTGCCTTCTCTTCCTGCACCCAGCCAAAGAGCAGTGGGATTCATGGGAGAGAAAGAAACCCCCTTCTCTTGCCCCACCTTCAGAGGGGAGCAGTGATTCCCCAGGTGGCCACGCACTCCACTAGTCTCCTCCAGCTCGCAAACTCCATTCTCAAGGCTCTGGTGAGGTTCATCAGCTGCACGGACACAGTTAGGCCACTAGGTGTCAGCAAAGGCCTAGAGCCTGGGTAGGGCTAGGGAGGTCAAAGCTTTGCATCCATCTGGAACCCTCTTCCCTTCCCCACCTCCAGTTGTCTCTGGCTCCTCCAAGTCACCTACTGCCCATATTTCTTAATCTATATATTTCCTCCTACACTGCTAGAGGAGCCTTAGCTTGCTCTCCTCCTAGGACCAAACAGCTACCACAGGCTCCTCTTTGTCCCTGAGACCTTGATGCCCTCTCCTCTTGCAGGGATGCCTCCTCCCCAGCCACTCTTTCAGCGTCTCTGCTCCGGACCCCGCCTCCTCCTGCTCTCCCTTGGCCTCAGCATCCTGCTGCTGGTGGTTGTCTGTGTGATCGGATCCCAGAGTGGGTGTCCCCGGGGTGGGCTGGGAAGGGAGCCATGTTGAGGGGTTGGTGGAAGCAGTGGTGAGGGGAGTGCTGGTTGTTGTGATGGTGGATGCAGCCCTCTCACTTTGTCCCATCCACACCCTCTCCTCTCCAGACTCCAAGCTGCAAGAGGAGCTGCAGGCCTTGAAAGAGACATTCCGCAACTTCACAATGAACACGGAGGCAGAGGTCAAGGACCTTCGCGCCCAGGGTGAGGGGGGCCTGGGCTGAGGCTGGGGGGCTGTGGAACACTAGGGATGTTTGGACACTAAGCAAGTCTCTTCTTCAGGAGGAGGTGTGGGCAGAAAGATGAAGTCCCTGGAGTCGCAGCTGGAAAAACAGCAGCAGGACCTGAGTGAAGGTCAGAGAGGGAGCATGTGTGTGAGCATATGTGCGTAGGATACAGGGGCCCTCTCAGGCCAAACCAAAGGGTCTTGTGGCAGGGGCATCTGTGACTGACCTTTGGTCCTGCATACAGATGCAGAACCTTCCCAACCCCCTTTCCTCCTTTCCCTCCCTACTCTTATCCTTCTGTCCCTCTCTGTCCTCTGTCTCCCCAGATCACTCCAGCCTGCTGCTCCACGTGAAGACCTATGTGTCTGACATGCGAAGCCTGAGCTGTCAGCTGGCCATCCTCCAGGGCAATGGTGAGGAGGCAGGGATACTCAACTCTTCTTTCCTGTCCACTTCCCCTCCTGGCAGCACCTCAGCCCCTCCACCCTCTCTCTCTGCTCCACTCCCCATCCCCACTTCAGGCTCTGAAAAGACTTGCTGCCCTGTTAACTGGGTGGAGCATGAAGGCAGCTGCTACTGGTTCTCTCACACTGGGAAGCCCTGGCCCGAGGCTGAGAAGTACTGCCAGCTAGAGAACGGGCACCTGGTGGTGGTCGGCTCTTGGGAGGAACAGGTGAGGGCTCTAGATGGCTTGTCTGGGAAGCTGGCTGGTCTACGGAGAGGTCACTACCCTCCTCTCTCCCCAGAAATTTGTCCAGCACCATATAGGCCCTGTGAACACGTGGATGGGCCTCACTGACCAAAATGGGCCCTGGAAATGGGTGGACGGAACAGACTATGAGACGGGCTTCAAGTGAGTATGTGCACTCTGCACTCTGTCCCTCTGGCCTGGGTCCTGCTGTTCCAGTTGGGTGGGTCCCAGGGCAAGAGGGGCTGCTTGGTTTGGCTTGAGGATTTGGCCTCCTAGAGCCCATATCTGTGTGGTCTCCTTAGGAACTGGAGACCAGAGCAGCCAGATGACTGGTATGGGCACGGGCTCGGGGGAGGCGAGGACTGTGCCCACTTCACAGATGATGGCCGCTGGAATGATGACGTCTGCCGAAGGCCCTACCGCTGGGTCTGTGAGACAGAACTAGACAGAGCCAGCTAGGAGGCTCTCTCACCTAATTTATTTCCTCAATGCCTTCACCTGACAAAGGGGCCTGGTTTGGGGATCTTCCTATCTGGGAGCCTCCTGCACCTTCTCAGGGATTTTCATCTGGAATTTTAAGGAAAGGTGAAGGATGGTGTCTGAGGAATGTAGAATGATGTTCAGAGGGGTGGGGATATTGAAACCCATGCTACTTTCTGCAGTTTGCAGGTTATTATTGTCAACTTTTTTTTTTTTTAGAGTAAAAAGAAGAGAAATATACTAAACATTCTGAGTTGTTTGGTTATTGGGGATCAAGAATGGAGAGTGGGCTTGTTGGCATTAGGAAGCTTGGGCAGGCTGTGGGGCATTGGGGGAACTGTATCAGCCAGATGGTGAGATTCGTTATTTCCAGGCATGGGATTTAGGGCAAGTTACTCTGCTCTCTGAGTCTCAGCTGGAAAATAGTGTTATTACTGGGACCATCCTACTTCCATCAACCTCTCCAGGAACAGAACCACCCCAATGTCTCGAGTGCTTTGAAAGCTTTGAATGAAACTCCTTGATGTCTGTTGTGTACATTACAGTGAACAGAAGCAAAATCCACAGGTAACAAATACAATGAATAAAAGCTGAGCCTCAACCAAGAGTGACCAAACACAGGAGGAAAACCAGTTCCATGGAAGGGAAGACCCCAGGTAAATAGAATCCACCACTCAGGATGGGAGTTAACAGGACAAACAGATCAAGACTTTACAGACATTTATGGGATTCTTAACAAAAACCGACAAAGTATTAGCCACAAAGAAGACCCTAACTAATTCTAAAAAGGAGCAATGCTCTGAACAAAATGAATAAAACACAGTTAGACATGAAAATGGAAGTAGAACCAAAAAAAATCTACAACATATATATATA